GTGTTATTGTAGTTCAAAATGTAGAAAAAGTACATCGATAATTTGATAATGAAAATTTTTAATAAAAAATCGCGATTTTTTATTAAAAATTTTTGCCTGCGCCGCTTTTTCCATAAAAATCAATACTTCGATAAATTATGAAAATTTTTAATAAAAAATCGCGCGATTATACACCTATACCCCCTAATTATACGCACTTATTCGTGGTGTATTTTTTTAACGTATGGTAGCATACATTTTGTGTTACTGTCAACCATTGTTATTTCTGCTTGTTTGTAAAATGTGCAAACGTTTGTGAAGACATTTATAAACGCGTTTTACTTAATTAATTAATTAAGAATTGTATATTAAAGTATTACAAACGCATGCGAACCTTTTAAGGATAATATATTTGTGTAAATAAAAGTGATAGGTGTGGGGTTATAATAAAATGTAGTGATAGCAGGCGGGTTATTTTAACAACAAATAACTTAAGTACTATTAGCACAACATTGTGAAAGTGAGAAATATAGTTGAAGGAGCCTCCATTAGTATCCCCACAGAGTTTCATAAAAAAATTCAGTATATTTTGCACGGAATAGCAATTGGTTCCGTAATGGAAATCCAGCCTTGAATCAGCTTTTTTTATCAATATTTAATAATAATATTTAATTAAAAAAAATTAATTACAATGCCCTGGCAACCCTGGCAGACGGAGTGGAAATTTGTGCAATTTTTGTCCTGCTTTAAAATATTAACAAAATACTTGCTGAACGTATTTTTGTCAACGAAAATAGTTGCAAATAAACCGCATTTACTTTTCTAATGTATTTTCAATCAATTACGACTGATTAAATTGCACTACAAGCAAAACTTAAATCAAGTGGTCAACTTAACCTTTTTGTCTGCTACATGGCGCCTGTGACGTGTAATGGTTGCAATAATGTCATTAAGGAAAACATGTCCAGTATCTTGTGTTCTTTATGTAATAGTTGGCACCATCAGAAATGTTCGGGAATCAATTCAAAGGACTTTAAAAAGATTGCAGCTGATATCAGGAAAAATAAGTTCAAATGGTGCTGCGATAAGTGTAAAAGTGAGGCTAGCATAATTGTGTCTGATACCTCCAGTTTCGACCCCATTACCTCAAAACTTGAGAGTGTATTCAATAAGTATTTTACACCATTCAAAAACAATATCGAAAAGTCACTGAGCAACATTAAGTCTGAGCTGGAGAGCATCTCTAAACAAAACCAGATGATGTCCAAGCAATGCGCCTCACTGGACAAACGAATAAGTGATGTGGAGGATAAGTTGAAAGGCATGAATGGTGGTATCGTGGACGCCGACAATATTATTGCTGAGGTATCTGAAAGAAAAACTCGTGAAAAAAATGTGATTGCCTATAATGTTCCTGAGTCGCTGAAGCAAGTAGGTACGGAGCGATTGAATGATGATCGCGTACGTATTGCTGAAATACTATCACCAGAGAATTCTGATGTTGTGCCTGATATGAGACTACGTAGAGTTGGTCGCCCAGTTGACGGAAAGACTCGCCCTCTGTTGATCGTTACACCCTCGATTGCCGACGCTAGGAGGTTACTCAAAATCTCTCCAGCGACCAACAATGGCGGCATACATTTTAAACAAGATTTGACTCGCTGCCAACAAAACCATCTAAAAAATTTACGAAATCAGTTAGAGGTACTCAAAAACAACGGCGAAACTAACAAGACAATCAAGTATGTCAATGGCGTTCCAAGAATTGTAAACGTGTCGGGATTTCGGAGCAACAAGGAGAAAAATAAACCACAAACAAGACCTAATAGTATACTATCAGAATGTAAGAGGACTAAGAACTAAGCTTAAAGACTTTTTATCAGCATCTGCGGTAAGTCATTGTGATGTATTGTGTGTCTCGGAGTCTTGGTTACATTCATCCATCATGGATGGCGAAATCGTAGACAGTTCGTATATAATTTACAGAAAGGATAGAGATCCAACGACCAGTACATTTGAACGCGGGGGTGGGGTATTCATTGCAGTCAAGCGTAGCATCTCGGCAGAGCTAATAGTAATAAATGAAAATCTCCTTGAGCAAATCTTCATTAAAATCGTTGGCCATGGGTGTGATATCATTATTGGATGCATATACATTCCACCACAATCACGCCCTGAAGTATACCTCAGACATATTTCTACCATATCCTTCATTAGAGAAAAATATCCAAACAGTAGACTGATAATAACGGCGATTACAATCTTTACAGCAGTACGCCACAAGTAGAGTGTGAAACATTGTTAAACCAGCAATTCCTGCTTGCTGGATGCCTCCAACTCAACAAGATAACTAATGCACGTGGTCGTATATTAGATTTATGCTTCAGCGATTCAGATCTCTCAATTAACAAGACTTGTTCCATTGTTCAGGAGGACGCATACCATCCTGCTTTAGGGGTGGTACACAAGTTCGAGGCGAATCTGAAGTGGAAAAACGTTCCTACTTATGCTTTCAGAAAGGCCGACTATGTAGCGCTGAATAACTTTTTTCTAAGAATAAACTGGATAGATTTATACAAACTTAATAATATTGACGAAAAACTTAACTGGTTCTATGATGTGGTAAGCCAAGGCATCACTCAGTTTGTTCCTTTATATTGCAGGAAAAACACTGAATATCCGTGTTGGTTTTCAAAAGAATTGATAAATAAAACAAAACAAAGGAAAATCGCTCACCAAACCTACAAAAAAGCAAAAACCCAAACGAACTATGCCGTATTTAGTACACTGAGATCCGAATGTAAAAAATTGAGCTCATCATGCTACGAGAGTTACTTGACCAAAGTAGAATTTCATCTGGAAAGTAATCCTAATGGTTTTTGGAGCTTTGTGAAAAACAAACGACGCAACGATGCTGATATTCCGTCAACAATGATTTGGGACGAACACACCGCGAGTAATGGCGCCAATGTAAGCAATTTGTTTGCGTCATTCTTCAAAAGCATATACAGCGAACCTGCTGCACCCGCAGTGTACAATATGGAAAGTATATCTTACGATGTTAACATCTCAGAATTTGAAGTGCGATTTGACGACGTATACCGCCAATTGACACTTTTGAATATCAACAAAGGCGCTGGGCCTGATCGTATACCTAACATTTTCCTTAGAAACTGCGCTATTGGTCTATGTGAACCAATCACACACATCTTCAGCAAATCGGTTGAAACAGGTCACTTTCCCACAATGTGGAAGTTGTCATATATAAACCCCATACATAAATCGGGCGAAAGGGCACACGTAAACAACTATAGGCCAATATGCATCCAATCGTCACTTGCTAAACTGCTGGAGAAGATCGTTCTACCACAAATAACCTTTCCATTTAAACACATTATAACTTCGAGGCAGCATGGATTCTTCGGTGGGAGATCTACGTCCACGAATCTCTACCTCTACATCAACTACATTCTCAATGCACTTAACCACGGCCAAGACGTACACTCATTATACACCGACTTCAGCAAGGCGTTTGACATGGTGGATCACGAAATTCTCTTAAGTAAATTAAAAAGTTATGGTGTCCGGTCAAAAGCCTTATACTGGTTCCGCTCATATCTATCGGGTAGGCGAATGCAAGTTCGCGTCAACGGTCATCTGTCAAATGAGTATGGTATAACTTCCGGTGTACCTCAAGGATCTCACTTGGGCCCTATCCTTTTCAGTATATTCATAAACGACATTGGCACGAAACTCAAATCCGAGTTCTTATTATATGCGGATGATATGAAGCTATTCAGAGCAGTAGGCGGTAATCACGACATAGACATTATAGAGAGGGATATTTTAGAAATTGAAAATTGGTGCACAACAAATAAGCTGCATCTGAATATACAAATATGTGCTGTCATGTGTTTCTCTCGACGTCTTAATAAAGTTAGCGCTAATTATTCCTTGCGTGGTCAAACTGTGAAAATAGTCAACTCAATTAAGGATCTGGGTGTGTATGTGGATGATAGACTCTCCTTCTCAGAGCACATTAACCACATTTCTGCACGAGCATATCGTGCGCTTGGATTCATATGTAGAAGTGGGAAAGAGTTCAGGAACCATAGAACACTCCTCAGACTATTTTCTACCTTCGTGCAGCCGATACTTGAATATTGCTCCATTGTCTGGGCACCATTTACCGAGCTCCAAATAAACAACGTCGAAAAAGTGCAACGTAAGTTTTGTAAGTTCCTGCTGTATCACTCCCAAGACGGAAGCTGTGTAAATACGAGTGATATATACAACAGGTACAATATAAAGACCTTATACAGCAGAAGGCAAATAGCGGATCTATCCTTTTTTTATAAGGTCGTAAATGGGTTGATAGATTCCCCAGAAATACTGGAGCAGTTCAGGTTCATCGGCTCTAGAGCTGATCTTCGATCGAGACGACTGCTAGATGTTACGCAATCTAACCGGAACTATATCGCCTATGGACCGTACAACAGAATAGCAAGCTTAGTCAACCGACATGCACCAAGTGTTAATTTCTTTGGAGGTTCTCACGCTGGTCTCATTCGTGTTCTAAAATCAGTTCTTTGAGTTATACATATGTACTCATTCGACATCTATTTATAATTTTTGCAATTGATAATTATTGTTAACTATTTACGTTTTTAAATTGGTACAAAATTTTACTTTTTTATTATGTGTAAAGCCGATTGGCGTTTAAATAAATAAATAAATAAGCTTTATTGTTTCTCGGTTTCAGTGCTTTTTTTTGGCATTTGTTTTTGTGTGGCAGCACCGACATTTTAGTTCAATTTGCAACTTAAAATTCAATTTTCATAAAAACTATAAGCCTCCGGAGGGTGAGGTTTTCAGATTTACAATCACAAAAAGCCGCTCTAAACCCCCTCATTTTTGTTTTTTTTTAAAGCCGGGTTCCGTATTGGAAAATTTTCCCCACAAAATTATTGATTTACCTGGAGAGCTCTTACTGCGCACCATAATACTCTTTCCCCACCGCCTCCAGCGTTGCAGTATGGATGAAATATTCCTATGCTAACAGTGTCAGCAAAAGATCCCTTAAGTTTTCTCTTGCTGTTCTGTAGCCAACTGCGTAGGCTTAGCAGAGAAACGGCAAATAATACAAACCCCGACGAAAGTATCCCAAATCTTTAAATGTAGCAGTATTAGTATTCACTCATTAAAAAATTCAACCCTACCTACATTACGGTTATCATTATTGATCAGCAAAAAGGAGATGGTTGAAATATAATTAACACCAATATCTCATCAATGTTAAAAACAAATAGCTCACATAAAAATAATTAGAAATAGCAACGACTAATCATTTGATTAAATTAATCGATTATTGTTGTTCAATTTACCCCATGAACCAAAAATACAAGATCACGTAAGAACGCGACGTTGTATTTGTGACTGGTTTTGAGAAAAAAGTTTGCGAAAGCGGGTTCGTCAGAGAGAGAGTTAATTCAATATCACAGCACATTTTAAAGCATTTCGTTGCATCATTTTACCTATATTGTGCGTTTAAAGTGGCTGACAATAGTTTTGGCTAATTTTGGTTTTCGTTGCTTTCTTTGCTTTGTTTACTTTTCGCTCGTTTTCCAGTGAAACAAGATGGCGTAGAACCCGCTTAAAAAAATCGACTTTTTTCACTCTCTTGTTCTTACGTGATCTTGTGTCTTTCGTTCATGAATTTACCCCACGTCGCCGTTTTATACTGTTATACTAGGTTCACATATAAGTAGATTATCCTCATTTTCGAGCTTAACACCCTAATCTGTAATTATAACAAGGGATTAGCCATATAAAATTCGTCCCTTGTTAATCTGTAATTATAAAATAATCTCAGATTTAACCGATAACTTTTCGGTATCCATTCTAGATTTATCGATTGCTTTTGCGAAAGAGAGGAGAAATGCCAAATGCAAAAGCAAACAAAAATGTACGCTAGCAAATAAAAGAGGTTTGTAAAGGTATTTTTAATAAAATGTTAAGTTAAAATATATTTATGTTGCTTATTATAGCAGAAAAACGTGATCACGGTGGCACAGAGAAGAAACATAAATTTTCCTTGAGATGTGAGAATAACAAGCACAACAAATTTGACGGCTAATAATCTGAGATTTGCCTGTGTAAACGGGGTGATTAAAAAACGAGCTTTGATTGAGATAATATTGATATGTGAACATAGTTTTACGATGTTTCCACTCTTCGTAATTCGCGCACTAAGTAATTCGCTAGGTTTTTCGTGAATGACCTTGTTTCCACACCACATTCGTAATTATTTTGGCAGCTCTACTTATTGTTCTTGTTCTACGCAATGTATTATTATTTTTGTGTACTGCAAAAATCGAAGATGGAGAAAAAATTGGGTTGACTGTAGTGTACATCGATGAGTGTGTTTTGGCAAATCTAAAACGAATTTCTCATGAAACTTTACGAGGATGTAAGAAACAGATATGCTTACATAATTCTCACTATTTTCACTTAGTTAATATTTATTATTTATTTGTTTATTACAATCATTTGACCTATATACATTCACGTATATAATAATAGTAATAAAAGTAATATTAAAATTAATGCTTAAAATAAATTAACCTGTTAAACTTTTCCTTCGAAGCTATATAATAGTTTATGTATATTTAACTAAGATAGCATATTCTCGATGCTGATGGAATGGACGTGATTCAAAGCAGTAGCGTACATATATCACGTAGGACGTTTGGTCCAAGAGTGTAATTTCCAGAGCCGCCACAACTGGGCGGTTGGAAAGGATTTGTTTCCAAACCGCCTCTTATAGACTTCTCTACCGGCAGGCGATCTGAATGGACGAGATCCAGAGTCGCGCTATTTGATCGGACGGAGAGGACTAGTTTCCATGCCGACCTTCTTATTTTATACTNCGTAGGACGTTTGGTCCAAGAGTGTAATTTCCAGAGCCGCCACAACTGGGCGGTTGGAAAGGATTTGTTTCCAAACCGCCTCTTATAGACTTCTCTACCGGCAGGCGATCTGAATGGACGAGATCCAGAGTCGCGCTATTTGATCGGACGGAGAGGACTAGTTTCCATGCCGACCTTCTTATTTCATACTTTATGGGTGATCTGAATGGACTAGATCCAGAGTCATCCAGCTAGTACGGATAGCAAGGACAAGTTTCCATGCCAGACCTTTCTATCTAATAGCCAATGCTCAACTGTGATCAAGTAGCAGCCTATTGAAGGTACCAACGTTTTCACAATTTTTTATTTGAGCTGGAAGTTCATTGTAACATTTTAATCCCTTATAAAAGATATTCTTCTTATCTATTTCCGTTTTAAACAGCAGCAGCCTGAAGCTATTATTTTCCCTGAGTAAATACTAATGGGTTTCACTATTATATCGTAGGATATCACTCAGATAATCTGGAAGTCTACCTTGTTTTATGTTAAACATGAATTTTTATTTATTTATTAATTTATCAATAAGTCTATGAAAGCATAATTTCTTACAGACTATTTAACAATCAAGATTAAGCTAGGGCATCAAATTAAGAATATTGGTAAAAGTTGACTTCGGTAGAGAAAAATCAAGGTCGATAGTAATTAAGATCTAGTTAAGTTCACACATTGCCCGGCCAATGGGTGCATTACGGGCATAGTTCCTTCAGAAATTTTCAGCATAAAAAGGCAGGGAAGCACGCAGATAATGCAAAAAATAAAAGTTAGAGACAATATTGACCTTCTTTTATCCAACGATTTTAGATTGAGCAGCGATAAGCGCGCATTATATGATGGTACGGGATCAGAGAAGCGTAGTGATCGTAAGGCAAATTTGAGGAACATTTTCTGAACGCGTTAAATCCTATTTATATGGAACTGGTGGAACGGACGCCAGATTATTGCTGCATACTTCAGGTGAGAGCGTACGAAAGAGGTATATAGCAATTTTAAAGTGTATGGATCAAAAAATTCAGTGCTATTCCGTCGCACAAAGCCAAGCATAGCATATGCTTTCGATATAATAAAATTAATATGGCTGCTAAATGAAAATTTGCTGTCAAAGAAAACACCAAGGTCCTTGATTTCCTTAACTGACTGCAAACTGCACCCAGATAAGCTATACCGAGTTATTAATAAATTTCGCGATTTTGAAAATGATACATAAAAGCATTTGTTAATATTTAATGAAAGATGAGATCTTAAGCACCACAAATAAAAGTTATCCAACTCGGTTCGGAGCTTTTTCATGTCAGAAGAATTCTTTACAATTGAATAAATCTTCAAGTCATCTGCTTTTAAAGAAAATTAGCAAAAGAAAAGCAAGAGCCGATGTCATTTATAAATACTATATAAAAAGCAAGGGACCTAGAATGCTGCCTTGTGGAACTCCAGAAGTAGCGAAAAAAGGTTCTGATTGCGCGTTATCCACAGTTACAACACACCGTCGTCGATACAAATATGACTTGAGCCTTTGCAGAAAGGTTGAATGGAAGCCAAAGAATGCGAGTTGGTCAATCAATACCATGCGCGAGACTTTGTCGAAGGCTTTAGAAAAGTCGGTGTAAATGCAATGCAGTATTCGGTAAAGACTGCCAGATTTATACCTGTGGAGCGGCCCGTTACAAACCCATGTTGATTTTGGCACATTAAGCTCTTAACCGAGAAATAAATTTTATCTTTGACGACGCTTTCAAAGAACTTAGACACAGTTGTGAGTTTCGAAATACGTCTATAATTGCCCACATTATTCTTGTTGCCATTCTTAAATATAGGGGTTATTGAAGCCAGTTTCCAAGCACCAATGAATTTCCCAAAATACAAATATTTATTGAAGAGCATTTTCAACGGAAGTACCAGAACGGGACAACTTTTTAATAAAAGTGCCGAGAGACCATCAAAGACCGTTTGCGATGAATTTTTGAGCTTCGATATTCCTATTATGATATCATCAGAAGTAAGTGCAATCAAACCAAAACTGAGTGCGGAATTCGGATTAAATGTTTGATTATAGAAAGAAAAATCGTCATCTGAAACAAAGTTGGATTTAAAAAAATCCGCAAAGAGGTTTGCAGCATCATGTGAAGAACATGCAGATTTTCCGTTGAAGACGACTGGTGATGGAATCGTGGAACACGCTTTTTTCGACTTGGCAAGGTTCCAGAAGGCCTTCGGATCAGATTTAATATTGATTTCGAACCTAAGAATATAGTTTCTATACAAGAATTTACCCAAACAGTTAAATTCCTTCAGATATTGGCGATATTTTTCATAGAAAAATTGGTTATTAGTTAATCTAAACTTCTTATAATATTTGTTTCTAATACTACGTTCAAATTGACGAGCTAAACATGTTAAATGGGCTTGAACCAGTTAAATGAACAAAACATGTTCATAAACAAGTTAAATCGCATGCAATTGTTGTTGAAAAATTGGACCAGTTAAATCATTTTACTCGTTTAAAACCAGTTCAGCGCAGAGTTGTATCAGAAAGGTTCTGCTCCAACCAATCAGGAAGACACAAAAGCTTTCATTTGACACGCCAACGTTCAAAAAATTTATATTCTGAAAAATATTAAAAGTTAAAAATTATTAAAAAAATTTCAAAATTGTATGCATGTCTGCCCACCAAAAAAGAGGCCAAGGCGGTAATTAGTTATTTCCCAAGAGGTCTCATCGAACGCAGAGATAAATAGTGCATACGAAATAAACAATTTGAAGTCTCTAAGTTATCCGTATGCGTTAATATCATGAAGCAGACATTCGCACAAAACAAATTGGAACACAAAAACTTGATTTTTAATTTTTTTTTTCGAATTTTTATTGGTAATCAAACAACCATCAAAGTTAACTCCAAATGTTCAATGTGGACGATTGTGTTTTCCAAAAAGCTCTTTTTCATTTAACAAGTTAAATGGGTCCTGTTGCGTCCCCTCTTAATTAGGCTGCTTGTCCTTCGTGCTAGTTCCGCACGGGTGCTCCACTGGGTGCTTTGGCACGTTGGCGCTAGCGAACCAAGGTTTGTATTAGGCTTCGCGCCTAGCTTTAGCCCAAAGACTCGGGGCTATTTAAAAATACTTTCAATATTAAAATATTACACCCGCGTTATTTTACTACTTGCGCTTGTAATTAAAATTCAAAGAAACTTAGACTTTAGAAATGCGTTTTATTTTATTGTACGTCCGAAGAGTTTTAATGGCGGTTCGCGAATGCCACCGTTTGTACATTTTGGTTCTTTAGCAAGCGTATGTGGAACGTAAATTACTCAGGGCTACCAACATTTTGACGGCGCTGAATAGTGCTGCCGTAATGTTGGTGATGCCACTACATCACCCTCCTTGGGAAGGATT